GTGTGTGCGTGTGTGTGTGTGTGTGTGTGTGTGTGTGTGCGCGCGTGCCACTGATATTGGCAATGACCAAGTGAGGTGACATTAGCCAAGCCGGCATCACCCCATATCCATCCGCCCGCCCACATACACACAAAGTCTTCACACAAGCACATCATTCATTCAGAGAGCTTCATGAAGTGTCAATGGCCCAACAAAGAACAATCAGGACAAGTCAACTCGCTCAGTGAGAAGCTTCAAAAACTAAAACTATTGCACAATTTCGAAAACAAAATTATCAACTCAATCAATTCGTTCAATGATTTTGATCAAGGTTTGACCATACAAGAAATGTAGTACCTCCTTGGATTCAAATTTTCTAAATTATATAATGACTATGTCGGGTACATTCAGGTGATTCATTTGATCCCAATTATTGCCTTTCTCATCCTCATCCAACTGTCATTTTTTTGTGACGCTCCAGTCCAAGTTGGGTTCAAATGCATTGTGCGATTATGTGCCTCAGTGTTCTTGAAAAAAACAACTGCACAAGGAACGATGAACACTCATCCGATTATTGAACTGTATGTCCGTTCTTTGGATTGCCGTTTTACTTTCCTTTGCAGTTCACTGCAAGAATTTTACTTCACACTTTGTAGTTTGTAATACTTTATTTATTGTTTGTATTATTTATACTTTATTATTTGTAAAATGTTATCTGAATAATGTTTAGAACTGTTAAGGTTACTCCAATGTCAATTCCCCAAACAACTCTCACACAAAATCAAAATCCTACTTTTATGCTTTGGTTTAATGTCTTTTGGCCTCTCAACTTTCTACTTCTTTGGCTTGCAGTTCTTCATGATGAAGCAAATAACAGTGTAGTGTTGCTTGACAGACTAGCTGACGAACACCTGGCTTGGCAAGCAATTATGCAGATAGGCATGCCAATACAAATTTTTTAAAAAACTGCAGCATGCACAAAAATAAAAGACAGAATGCGCTTGATGAAGTGAGAAAATGTCCACGGAAAAATGTGAAGTCTTTCTGTTGTCCGGATGAAAGCCAAAGTTCCTCTCGAAGTCACACCAATGATGGTCTGATTGATGCTCATATTTTTTGGGGGGGTTCTGTCAAGGTCCAGTAAGGAAGAAGCACATCTGTGAAACCTAGTGTGAGAATCCGAGAGCCTACAAGGTAGTAGTGGAACAAAGGTTGGATTGTTGGTTGGCGGCCAAAAGGTCGAAGGTGACTGTGGTCCTTAGTACAAATGTTCAGAATTACTTGTTAAAGAAAGGAAAGACTAATTTAGAAAACATGGAGCCTTGTCACCGCTTTCCCTACACGACTCACTGGTCTGACCAGGTTCATGTTTAAATAAAAACAGAGCGCAAACACAGGCAACACCTGCAAACATCATTGGTGACACATGCACCAATGATTCTTTCCTTCTCTGACTCGAGGTTGTTTAGACTACCTTCCTGTGTGTTGAAAAACATTTGGTACTTGTTTGTTTCCTTTGTCCTTGTCAACAATCGGCTGTCCTCTGTGTTGAGTGCACATGCACGCACAAACTTCGGTGTCCCTTAACTCCATGACAAGGACACTTTGCAGCCCATCTGTATTAGTAGTAGTCGTAGGTCATGTTTTAACAGAGGGCTGCAGAATCTCATGTGCATATGTATTAAATACATTTTTTTAAATGACACAAATGTGGTATTCCCTAACATAACGTCATTTTTTAGTGTTATTAATAGGCCTGTCAGAATAATTACGGTAGACTCATTGCTGGATAAATGAAATGGACACCATGTTTTTTTCCTGATTTGATAAATTGTCATTTATGTTGCTTCATTCCCTTTCCTGTCAGTAAACTGTGGTAGACAGGACTCTCACTCACATATGCACACATGCACACACGCACACACACTCAATGGGACTGTGCGAACAACATTGAAACGGAGAGAAATGGACAAGCATACTAAAAGCTAAGTTTTCAGACAGCTGCAATTGTACAACTACTCAAAGTCTATAAGCTACACAAAGATAAGCCTTGTTATTGAATGTGTCATAAAATGTGTCAAAAGGAAGTCAGTTTAAGCATTTTAGTCTTTGCATTAAAAAATGATATATTAATATTTTAGATATATATTTATCAACTGCAATGGTACTTGAGGGTGTGCAGACGAGATTGTGCAAGCTTGTACTTTTGAAAGACCTCGTAAATCTATGGCTGAGAGTGTTTTTGACTATTTACATGGTTTAATTGCTGGCTCCGGTGATTTGTAAGTTTCCCAGGATAGGGGCATGTCAAATGGGGAGAACAGAGACTTGATTCAGAGCCACGCATGGAACTTGTACAGAGAACGAGATTCTAAGCGGGATAGGGGACAGACAACATACACGCTGAGGCTAAAAGTGAAAAAGAGGACAGAATTTTCAAAAGGGGCATTGAGGCAGTGGACTAGTTCGGGATCTGAGGCTCCTCTGTAATAGAAGCAAAGCCATGAATTGGGCAGGGCATAAGAGGGAAGGCCCTTTCCTATTTTTCTATATAGCTCTATGTTCGCAGAGAGCACCGGAACATACGTCATTTCACAAAAGTAAATGAGATTTTGTTCATGATCATTTTCCATTTATATTTGAAAACAGTTTTACTCATTTTACAAGGCAATAGAGTCCATTGTTTCACAAAGCCAAACAGAGTATTTTCTCGTTCAGATGATGAGCGCTCAGTAACACAAGTAAAACAAGGTGACAGGGAACGGCGGGGTCTGTGATGGACACGAAGGGCAATGATAAGCACATAACTGGGCAAACACAAACGCAAATGTGTTTAGCGCGTGCTTGGCAAAATGTACACACATGTACACGCTAGCTCTTATGCACACATGAGAATGCACACACTTGTGATGTGAACATTTCTACACTAAGGTCTGGAGCGTACATGGAGTTTAAAGCTCTGTGTTTTGGCCCCTTTTGATTCTTTTGGAATCAAAGACCGTATGGAGTTCATGTAGACACACACTCTCATTACTAAGCTCATATATGCCTTTTTGAGTTTGGGACCCTGCTGTTCCTCATCCACATTTAATGAACTCTGAGCTATTAGTGTACATTAACTCAACTTACCCATGTCGGCTTTGCAAGATCTTTTGCCTAAAACAGACCCTCACTAAGCACAACAGAAAAATTTTCATGCACATAAAATGTACCTGAAACGCAAAGATGATAATTTTGTATTAGACCACATCCCATTACTCCAGCCTTTCCCCCAACGATGACTACTCAAATCAAATTCCATCAAAGTTAAAGTTTGAACAGAACCCACTGAGTCTGTTGGAAAATGATAACTGTGTCTCAGCTTTGTATCAGTTGTAACATAGATAGCGGTGCCAGAGCAATAACATGAATCTAAAGTTCTTTACAACTGTAACAACAGACCGATGGCTGTCCCATATCAAAGTCGGCAGAGTCAAAAGATCAGCTTGTCAATCTTTACAACGTGAAGCCTTTACAGCTTCAACTACAAAGGCAGCTAGAGAATTGCTAAATGTTCTGCCAATTATCTGGCAATGTTTCATTTTTTTCCAACCGATAAAATTTCCACATGTGGTGGTATGGTTCAGTTTGAATGTGTGTACCAATGTTGTGTTCGGTCTGTCTGGCATGGGGCTGTGAACTTTGAGAAAATGTGTGTTGTATTTTGTTCTCATTACACTTTAGTTGTGACAATTTGTCAACCATTGAAGAGTCTGTTTAGCTGCACCCAATAGGTAGCATACCCTTGGTACAACTACACCAGGGGGTGATGCGGCAGTGGAACAATGTGCAGCAGTTGATTTAGTACCGGTAGACAAAAAAAAAAAAAAGGGCCTGCAAGAAAGGTCATCATCCATTTACTATGGCACCTTACGGGGCTGCGGCTGACTTTGACGTGCCAGTCGAGAATGACTCCATCCAAGGACATGCTAATATCAAATCTACAAGTAACAAGTTCACAGAGCACGAATGCACCCAGACGTGCACCCACACAGATGGTGAACAATGCATCAACAGGGCAAATAGTTGATATCGTCACCTAAGCCCTCTGAGAGATCTACTCCATGCATATGAGAAAAGCTTTGTAGATTCCAACACAGCCCTGATATTCGGTGACAAGCGAGGCTGCATTTATGCAAGTCTCACTCATCATACATGTAAGAATAAGTCAAGACTACAACCGTAAATACTTTTATACGCAAAAGATTCCTAAAACTGCATAATTTGATATGCCGTGGGGTTGGAGATGAAATTGAAAAGAATCTATGCATCTCTTCCACCTGTCACTTACAGGTAATTATTGTTACCACTAATGAAATAATAATGTTCTGACCCATTTAAAAAGACAATTTGATTAAAAAAAATAGAGACACCGCCTCAGCCAAGGTAAAAACAAGTCAGAGAATTAAGAAGCAATCCAATTATGTACACACACGATTGGTGGCACACACAGCCATGCCTACAAATTAAGGGAAATTATGTTGCGGGGAGAGGGACAAAAGAGCCAATACACAACAATAGTGGCTGAATGATACTAAACCAAAAGAGAGGACCGAAGCTCAGTCCCTCATTCCCACTTCAGCAGGTAATGGATACGCCTGTGTCATCTTCATCCTATTGATAGAAGAGGGGGGCGAGGGCAAGGCTCAAATCAATGCTGAGGAGGGAGGAGATGGCTCACGCACAGACACCCAAGAAGGAATATTTGTCTGCCAGTCCAGATGCAGCTGAGTCTAAGTCCGGGTAGGGAAGCACCATCAAAACAAAGGCAACTTTGGCGCTGCAAGCGGCAGAATGATGAATTTAATACCCATCTGTTCAAGGAACCCACCCAAAAAATAAATAACTTCCCAGCACAATGGAACACTTAAATTGGTATTTGTGTGTCAGTTGATTTAGAACCGCTGAGAAAATGTTGAACTTGAAGTTACTTTGACCAAAGCACCTGCTAAATGACGCAAACCCATATATTTAATTCCTACCTCTTGAGTTCGTTGCCAGGTCAGCCACTTTCTGAAAGGCATCCAAGAAGGCAGCCAAGGCGACCACTGTGGCTCTAGAAGAGGAAAAGAAAAAAGAACTTCAGTTACCGGTACATAAAACTCTTACTGATCAATTCCTTAAGAACAAGCATCTTATTTTCCAGTCCATGTGTTGGTAACAATACGTATATAAAAAGTGACTGAAGGTAATTTGTGCTAAGCATTCCTCTCTGTTCTCATGTACTGCCCAGAGTGCACACACATGGACAAAATTGTTTATACATTTCTGCTAATGAAAGAAAAACACAGCGGTCACAGAAATAACTTGAATCAGACAAAAGTAATAGTAAATTTAAAATGAAATGAAAATTAACTAGTGTAAAATCAGACAGTGCTTTTGGTTTGTGGGTCAACAGAATTCTTGAAAAGAATATGTCTATTTTTTTTTTAATTATTGAATCAGGCCTGGACAAAACCATTGATCCATTCTCTGGTGGAACATGAGCAGAGACCCAAGGTCTTCGATCCATTCCTGAAAAGAAGCTTCATGGAAATCAGTTTGACTCATTCCAGAAACCAATTGTAGACTGCTGAACGCACGAGTGGACTCAGCAGTGGTGCTGTTGATTAGTTAACCACCATACCCTGCTGGTGTGCGCATACACAAATTAATCAAGTGACTGGCATAGTTCATGCTCCACTTTTTCACACTTGCCTGTTAAGTCCCAGTTTACTGGTTTGATTAAAATTCAATATTTGGCCAAATCATTCCTGTCTTCTCAACTCCAAGTGGCAAGCATTTAGCGGTGCAGGTTTAACAAGGAAGAGTGGCTTGTTGCTAAGTGGCAACTGGTGCAAGCCGAGTGTTATAAGGGACAACTTTACAGTTGGAACATTCTGTACTTTGACATAGGGCTGGGCATTTGACGTTTAATTGCAATTTTGAATCTTACCTTCTTTTGATCTTAAAAACATTGTGATTGAAGAAAAACAGTGAAGTTACCGAACGGCACAGTGTGTATGCAAGTTCCCGATGTCAAAATACCCTGACCTGCTCTGCATTTTGGCAACGGAGACTGCACGCTTGTCTATTTTTAGTGTAACGTGGAATTATAAAAACTGTTCCGGACTACTGTTGTAAAACACAACATCTATATAGCCAGTGGCGGCCCAGTGGGTTTTCTCCGGGTACTCCGGTTTCCTCCCACATTCCAAAAACATGAATGGCAGGCTGATTGAACACTTGTTGATGATTGTTCGTCTCTGTTTGCCCTGCGATTGGCTGGCAACCGATTCTGGGTGTCCCCACCGCCTACTGCCCGAAGACAGCTGGGATAGGCTGAAGCACCCCCGCGACCCTTGTGAGGATAAAGTGGATCGGAAAATGAATGGGAAAAAAAATGAATATATGGCGAGTTGGGTCTCCAACTAACAAGCGTAAAACTCAGTAACGGATGTATTGTGTGTGTTGCGGGCTGATTAATTGGATCACTCGTGTCAAACAACAGGAAGATTGCTTTTGATTAAATATTTGTATTAATATATTTGTATGATATTATTGTTTATAATACACTCAACATTAGAATGTCAAACGGATAGGATATTAACAATCATTGACATCTTGCGTTCAGCGAGACGTTAGGAGCATTCAAACGCATTGAGACATTTCAAACTCAAACAGAAGTCACAAGTGCTTCGATGCAGCAAACGTTGGGAGCTACAAATTTCTAAATGTGGGCTTTCTATCAATCTGGAAAAACTGACAGATATCTAGAAGAATGATGGTGGAAATCACTTTGCTATTTTACTTAACTGCAATCAAGGTTCCATCTTGTCACTTTATTTGTCAAACACTTGTTTACTTCCGGGGTCAAAGAGAAAACCTTCACAGCAACTGGGGACTTTCCATAATGTTACAGTTTTTACAATTGCTGCATGAGTTTACATCTCAAATGGTCACCACAAGTGTGACAAAACAAAACTTACACTGTACAAAAATGAGTTCCAAAAGTTAGTTGAAGTGCCAAAAATGTCTTATGCTTCCTATTTTCTACCAATGACAGAATACCACTTTTCTTCTCGTACAAATAGCTTGTGAAAATGTAGTATTGGTTAATAAGCAGTTTGAGGGTAGAGTTTACCAAAAAATTCAAGGGTGTGGCTTGACTATATGAAGAAAAAAAAAACCCAAAACAACATAGCAAGGGCACACTCGGATTCCTTTCTATTTCAAGCACAGCACTGGCACTGAAGGAGCGACAATACTATGTGCTCGTGGATCGGATGCTCATTGAATAAATGTAAAATAACAATAATCAGGATTTCCCTCACTAGAAGAATTATCATCTTATAAATATTCTAACAGTGTCAAATGTAAAAAAAAAAGCACCTGCCCTTTAAGTGAGAGATTCAATTTTATCGTTGTCAGTTCAGGAAAGCCTGGCCAAGCCAACCTCCACTCCCGCAGACCGTGGCGTAGTATAACAGGCACATTGCCTCTGACAATGATACATTGAGTGTTGCTGCCACTATCTATTCTTAGAGCAGCAGAAAATGGAATGGAGATGTGGTTGATTTGGATCCTGGAAATTTAACAATGCTTCTGAGACACTAAATGCCAACATTTTGAGATTGGTATATATATATATATATATATATATATATATATATATATATATATATATATGTCAACCGTACTTTAGCTATTGCATGCGTGTTGGGTACTATACATCGAATATAATGTCTGTCTGTATCATTTCTAAAAAAACAAGTTCAAACAGATTTTATTGATGTCTTGAGGTGGGTCTTTCTTTTTCCAAATGAAGTCTAAACCAGAATAAATCCTTAATCCCGAGACACAGCTGCATCAGCCAGCAAATAGACCAAAAGAGTCCATGATTAGAAATCAGCTACCCTTTATTCTACACCAGACATCAACCCAAAATGGGCAGGAGGAGAAAAACGCCACAGTTGGACCCAAAAAAATGGCAGAACACTGTAATTGGTTGATTTCCTAGGTGCGTTGTGAGAGGGGTGCAGAGGGGCTAAATTACAGAGCAGTACTCTAAGGACATCATTACACACATCGACACATGCCACAAGCATGGCTGGCTAGCCACTTATCAGAGCCAAAGCGGGAAGGTGGGTGTGTTTGTGTTTTGCCATGCGTGTGTAACCCAGTCCCACACAACAGATTACAGAGCTCCATGGGTGGATGAGGTGTGGGGGTGCCTATGCCGTGGTCAAAACCACTACTTTTGCCGAATTGGAAGTGGCTATAGAAAACATTAAAGCAGACCAAAAAGGCTGTATAGTGGTTTACCATTCGGGCAAGTAAGTAGTGCATTCTTAGCAATAAATCTCAACACTGGTAAGCTATCAAGTAGAAGGGGCATCAATACCGCTGGCATGACTACTGCAGCCTACGGCAGCATCTAAGTCCAGTAATTGGGGCAAAGTTTGAAATACCAAAACAGTCTGACTATAAATAGTACTGCACTCATGACTTTGATTGTCCATATTCAATGGAGATTCCCATATATCCTATTTGTTTTGTCTTGAAACAAGAGTGGGTGGGCGTACACCCAAATTGATTTTTCTTTTCTTTTTTTTTTTTTACATTTTAACTTATTTTGAAAGAGTGGGGAAAAGCCCAAAACAGATAAATATTGAAGATGTTTAATATTTACAACTGCCTACCGTGATACTTTGCTGTAAAGTTCATTTAAGGTGTAATCGATGTTCAAATCTGGTCATAATTGGGTGTGACCAGACAATCTTTTCGTAAATCCTTTTTAAGATGTAATAATCTATGTGTAATAATGTTTTTAAAAAATCAAATACATACTGTCTCCTATGACCTGATTAATCAATTGCAAGTCAGGTACATAAGACATATTAAAATGAGCTAGAAGGAACTGTTTATGCTGAAAGGGTGCCTTACTCATGCTCTTTGGTGGTTGACTCTTGCTGAAAAACATGCTTAAAACTGATTCTTCTCTTGGGTGATAGATACTACATTTGTTTATCACCAATCTTCATCCTATGTTGTTTATGTGGAATGAATTACAAATCACAATGATTTCCATTGTAATGGTCAGTAGTCACAATCTACTTTGAACACTAGCCCAGTGCACAGACTCACAGACACCTTCTCGTCAACTCGGCAGTCATTAGCAACAAGTCCACAAATGCTCCCCTGAGCTTAAGTATGAGAGGGTCACATATTTCACCCCGAAATGATGGTAACAGTTGAATAACACTTCACCATGAATCAGTTATAACGCTGAGAAAACAGAGGAATGGCTTCAAGACACTATTGTTAAGTCCTTGAGCCATTATACAGCTGTCACTATGAGTTTGTCCCGGAACACGTGGGCACTTATATGGCAAGAGATCTGCCGTGCACTGTTAATCAAAGACTATTCCAGACTGCAGGACAGCCACGGTTAAGGTACTTGGAGAACAATTAGCCTTTATCTCAGCTGTCGTGAGTTGTTTGTCAATTGACACGTGGCCACTTAAAGTCGGCCGAGGGAAGTGGTGAGAATTTGTCGGCCATTGTTAGAAGAACATGGGCAGAGGTGTGCAAATTTACCACCTGAAGAAGACTGAGAGATGAACGGACAGGATGTGCAGAAAGGATGTTGCGAGCTTCTGGCTTATTGAAGCTGACAATGCTGGTTGGTCAAAGGACATCAAACTTTATTTGGAAGTTAACGTTACATATTCATGAGAATTTACTATTTTTAAATATAAAAGGTGTCATTTGTGAATCATTGATTCATTGGAAGTATGAAAGTAGCTCCACAAAGCGACCAGTCATCATTATCATGCAAATGTATTGCGCAAGCAAAAGCTCACCTGAACTGTGACTGCAGTTTGCCTGCCTTGGTGATGAAGTCCTCCCAAATCGGGTAGCCACTCTGCCAACGAGAAAAAAAAATTGTGTTGAAATAAAGACAGACTTCATAATTTCCAGTTAAATGACATTTGAGATGGTGCAGGTGAGGAGAGGGCAGCGACAAGCTAAATGTTTGCCAAACAGATTAAATCACTTAAGTCACTCTTCAAATGATTATTTTACCGTGATAGAGATTAGAACAATTATGAACACATATTTACCATCGTGTCCTTTAGGCTGGAAAATGGGTCACAAGCTTCTTTGGGAAAAGTCCCCTCACAGCAAAACCATTAATACGATGACATAATGAGCCCGCCACCTAATGGGACTCTAAATATACCTAATTGAGGTCTCTGGCTCAAAATAGTTGAATCTAAACTATGGCAGCAAAAGAATGGTGTTGAGGGGAGCCTGCAGGCTATGAAATGGAAGTCAGCAGTGGAACCGCACAAGATAAAGACAGTGAGGGCTTGACCAAATGTTTGCCAGTGATGTGTTAGTACTGTCAAGTGCCTTCGGAATGTTATGTTATGCTGTCAAACATTACACCCAACAGTCACTGAAGCGCTTTCCGTCCTCTGACTTCTCTCGCTCTCTCTCTCTACATTACATCACTTACTGTATGTCAACTCCCAGAATTAAATAGATGCTAAGCAAGAGATACTTAAAAAAACATGGTCTAATTGACTTTTGCCATTCTCTTTTGTCTCCATTTAATTTCACACCTTAACTTCCTCATGATCTCGAATGCATTCAAATACATAATGTTATATTAGTTGCTGATAGATCAAACAGCATCTCTTCATTAGTAGAAAGTGATAGTGAACCAGGTGGATTTTACTGCTTAACTCATATTCTACACACACAATATTAATCAGAATGTCGTGTTTAGACTAGTGGGGTTGCATCATTTTAGGTTGACTTACCCTTTAAGGCACATGTGTCAAACGCAAGGCCCGGGGGCCAAATCTGGCCCACCACATAATTTTACGTGGCCCGCGAAAGCAGCTCAAACATGTTAACTTCCATGATCCTTTCTAAAATGTCAACCAAAATTTTTAATTCTCTCATGTAATAAATAACAGATATATTCGAAGCATTTTCTTGTTACCAACCCCTTCATGATAGTAACTTAAACAATAGTTGAATCAACAGTTATTCTTGACTTCTTTATATGGTTTCAATCATAACTAAAATGTGGCCCGCGCCATAAATGAGTTTGACACCCCTGCTTTAAGGTGTCTAACAATAGTTAAGAGTTGTTTAGGTGATCATTTGTCCATTGTCGGTTCGTCCATACTCGGGATGGGCGATACATATCGTCCTCGATATTATCGTCAAAGTTGCTTTCACAATGTGCAATTTTAATTGATCACGTATTAATCCAGTCTCAAAAACAGACTGGTTCAGGTGCATTGACTGGCTACGAAGGAAGAGGAACTGATAAGTCTTCATTCTGCAAATCAGCGGGCAGGAATACAGTCACGTGACTCAGCCGAAGGAACGCAACTTTTGTTTCAAATATAGAGGAGTGTCTCATCTCAGTGAGTAATTTCATAGCAAGACCTAAGTCAGATGTATTGTATTGTAAAATGTGATGATATCTGTCATCATGGAGTAAGTAATAGGAGACATTTAAGTGACATAAATATTCACAAAAACAAATGAAAACAGACAAAAAAGCCTGCACATTTGACGTAACTATGACCAGTACGGCTTACATTTTTTGCTGTGCTATATCTATTCCTTTCAAAAGGATGTAACAATATGCAAACGTCTTAAGTTGGTTCTTTTGTTTGTTTGTTGTTCTTTGAAATCTAATTGTGCTCTCACAGTCATCTTTACAGGATGGCCACTCCTTGAAAGAGATGCAACAATGTTGACTTCAAAGAGAATTTGTCAACTGATGCCCATCAAGACTTATAGAGATACTTTTGAAACCTTTTCCAGCTTTATACACGTTTATAAATAAAATTCTGACCTCAACCCGATTTAGATACGGTGGCATGCAAACAGACATTCCACGAATCTCGCTGAACTGCAACCGTTTTGTTAAGAGGACTGGTCCAAAATTCATGTGCAAGTTTGATCTCCAACCAGTTACGAAATCTAAGGGTTTCTTACTTTTGCATCCCAGTCCTGTGAATGTTTATGTTATTTTAAAAAACCGCAAAACATAATTGCTTGTGTTAGCATTAGTTGAAGCAAACTGTTTGTTCTATTTGTGATTTAGAATAAAACCAAGCAACAACTTACAAATTTGTGCGAAAAATTAAGAAATGTTTCCATACTTTTCTCATGTAAGTGTTGGTGGCTGATATTAGAGACAGTGGTGACTGTGATATTCGACACCGGACCGTTAAAGTTTTCACATTTCTGTTCGAACGGACGTCTGGCCATTTTGATCCCCCCTTCATATGTCAACGCCTTGAGACCCCGCGGACATTGTTCCACTACGACGGTCACATTCTTTCCATTCCTTCGGGGCAAGTACAGCAGCTGAGACGGCAGCTAATTGTCTCTACAAGTCGTCTCTGTCAAAAAAAAAAAAGTGGGGGCAAATAAACTTCCACCTGCCTGCCCCAAAATGGAATATCCCAAATTAAAATGACGACACAACTACAGTAAATGTTTCAATTTAACGAATAAAACACACGCTTACCAATATATACATATATTGGGAGATATCTACATATATAGTGTTTTGAAGAGTTTGGAATTCATGAGCAAACATTAAACAAGTTACACTAGCAGGAGCGGCATGCAATTACTCAAGTATATCATCGACACGACACATACGTTAGAAGGATTGGGTCTGTTAGAAGCTGCACAATAACGTTTATATTACCTTCATGTCTCCGATAAGAGTTTGGAAGAGTCCTCCAAGCGCACTGCAGTCCTTCTCGATAACAGCCTCCATTTTTCAGAGGACCACCTCCGAAGCCCAGGAGGTGAGGGTGGAAAAGTCAACCCGAAAACAAACAAAATAAATACAACTATAGATACCTGGAACTAGTGTATCCGTTGCTGAGAAATGAACAACAAGAGGTGTTTATACAAAAAAAGAAGTTGTGAGAAAAGGAGTTCACAACTGCCCGGTGCACCATTCACTTCAAACAAGCTGATGGAACGAGAGTGAAATTTAATTCCCAGTGTCGTCTCCACGCCGCTTGCTTCATAGCCATGTTAAGACAAAAACACTTCAACTGAAGTCGAAACTAGAGACACGTCACGGTGTCTGAGGATATTGACAGGTAAACCTCTTGAAATAGCCAAGAGTGTCGTCTGTGGTCGCTTTCAAAATACGGACTGAAGTCTGGTAGAACAAACCCTATGAGCGAAAACAAGTCAAGCTAGCGACAACTCAGAAAAATCTGCTTCCGGTTAACTTCTACAATAAAAGTATACATTTTCTAAACGTTTGGAAAAAATAATAGTACTGTAATACAATACAATACAACACAATACATCCTGATTTATATAGCGCTTTCACAACAGCTGCAGCTGTAACAAAAAGCGCTTTAAAAAACAGTCAACATAAAGTAAATAATAAACACAATAAACAAATAAATAAATCCTGATCAGGCCTGAGGTGTGTTTTTTATATATACTGTATATTGAGAGAGAGAGTGAGCGAGAGAGAGAGAGAGAGAGAGAGAGAGAGAGAGAGAGAGAGAGAGAGAGAAGAGAGAGAGATGATAGATTGATAGATGCGCGCGCACACGTTGGGGGGGAGGCACATCCGATTTAACCAGACATGTGGCAAAAATGCTATTTTAAATACAGCCCCGTCCATACGTGCAAAATACGTGCTCTTGATATGCTCTTGATATTATCAATGATAATACAGTATTCTGTATTATCATTGATAATCATTGTCATCCGTTTGAAGAATTTGCCGAGTCCAAACAAACACGTACACGCATTCTTCGTAGCTCATGAGAGTGCATTTTGGACCGTGTAAATTATAAACCCGAAAAAATATTTACTGACTGTCAGTCAATGAGTGACATCTAGCGACTAAACTTTGAAAGACAACATAAGATAGAAAAATAAAATAACGGGAATTATAGAACAAGTTGTAACCTGCAAACGAGTCGTTATATGTTCACTTAAAGCCATGAAATCCCTCCTGGTAACGCATTCGAGAAAAAAAAAACAATGAATGCACCAATTTGAAGAAAGTGTGCTGTATTTCTTGATGGAAATTGTGCGCGCCCGTGCGCGCGCGCGAGCGCGCACACACACACACACACACACACACACACACACACACACACACACACACACACTCACACACACGCACACGCACACACGCGCACACGCACGCACGCATAATTATATACTTATTATACTGTGCTAATATTTTCCGTTTGAAACGGAGGTTAAAAACTTTTAAAATGTCTTCATACATTCATAATGTGTTCATTGCATGTCTGCAAATACTCTACTCAAATTGTGTCACAAAGTTGTGGGTAAACACATTTCGCTGACATCATTTAAGCTATATTTCTCATGGATTTATGAGGCAGGGCTTGGTGTTAATCCACTAATTTATACATTTAGGTTGGAATGCTACAGTATTCTTAAAATGACTTTCATTTTTACTGTACAGGGTGGCACGGTGGTCAACAGGTTTGTACATCCACCTCACACTACAAAGGTCAAGAGTTCGAATCTGGGCTCCGGCCTGTGTGGAGTTTGCATGTCCTGCACTTGTGGGTTTTCTCCGGGTACTCCGGTTTCCTCCTTCATACCAAAAATATGCATGGTAGATTATTGAACACTCTAAATTGTCCCAAGGTGTGATTGTGGAAGTGAATGATTATTTGTGTATGTGTGCCCTGCAACTGACTGTCAACCAGTACAGGGGATATGCCGCCTACTGCCCGAAGACAGCTGAGATCGGCTCCAGCACGTCCGTGGACCTCATGAGGATAAGCAGCTCAGATAATGGTTGGATGGACGTTTCTTTTCATTATGTACAGTAATAAAAAAATGTACATGTGTTAAAATATTTAGCCACTAGAGGTTGAAAGCGAGACATGATTAAAAGGGAAGTATTGGATTTCAGATTTCAAAATTACTTCATCCCTGGCAGTTGCTAGAACATGCAAAACTATTTATTGAACACAGCTGTGATCATCAGACACAGAGAACGTCTCTTTTATTTTTCATAATACAACAATGCATTTATCCCTGCAATCTTAAACGATCATGTACTGTTTTAAGTGTTGTACTGTATTTACCTCACAACATGCCTTTTGCAGTAATTGATTTCTCTTCACGTTTGTGTACTTTGTATCCAAGTGTATTGTGTGCATTTTGTTAGTAAATATATTTTTTCAAAGTTGGCTGTGTCTGCATTGGGATCCTTTGTGGTTTATATTTATAAATTGCCCATTTTCCTGTAACAGTTAAAACTTGATTTCACCTTGTCTTTTTTCCTTTTTAAATAGAGTACTGTATCTCAAATATCTGGCATTTAAACAGGGGTGTATATATATATATATTTTTTATGTCCACTGCATGTAAATAAAATTACATGAAATTTGTTTTGGTAAAATGTTATTACATGTTAATATTAAAATTTTTATGATTTAACAAAATGTACTAAAATAAAAACAATGGCACAAGCATTTAGGCATTTTATTTTAAATGAGGAATAATTTACTATTGTAATACAGACTGTGATCGGCTTCACTTATTCGAACAAATTATAATAAATTGGGACACCAAGCAAACCTAATAGATTGAATATTTATCATGATTTATTCTTGATGTAAATGATTTTAATATGCAGTTAAATAACAGCGTAGACTGTTAAAATTCTTTAAAACACAGCGATACTGGTAGGCTTGAGTGTTTAATCCTATACATTAAGAAGATAAACAAAGATGTCATCTAATGAACTATTAGTATGTATATTATATTAAAATTCTTCAAACCACCAATAGTGGGAGGTTTGGTGTTTAATCTGATAAGGAGAAGCCACACACTGATGTCATCTGACAAATTGTTACATATCAACAAAACAAAAAATGCCATTTCAACATGTATTTAAAACTATATTTAAAAATTCAAAAGCACATCATGTTCATTGTGAAGGGAGTTTCCATTCCTTTGGCATCACTGTATTGTGGGGTCTTTCCTAGAAAATGTCCAAGCATGTGAAGCTTCTGTTGAGCATGTCACAAAAGCAGCACACCTCAGGGAGTTTCAGTTGTTTTGGAGTTGTGAAACATTCTCTTCAGTGAGGATGTGAATCCAGTAGAATAAGGAAGCTACAGTGTTGATGTGGAAAAAATAGCTGTAGTTGCATAAGCATCACGAACGTGCCTAACGTGAATAAAAAAAGCTTGTTGCATAATAAGTGTCAAAACATGACTCACGTGCATGCCATATTAGATGTCAACATTTTTCAATGTTTTCTCATCCCTTCGCTACACCACTCAACATGTTTAGAAGTTAGGGACCTCAGAAAAGTCATTCTGTAATTGATAAAGTCTTAAAAAAAAAATCACAAAGGTATCATACTGAAAACAGGGCATTCCAACTCCACACTGAACAGAAGCATGATTTCTGAAGCTAATGTATTGTTGTATTGTGAATGTTCCTCTTGTTGGTGAAGAACAGGTGAAAAATCAGTTTGAGTTTCAGGTTAGATCCTCCACCTCTTGAACGCCATCACCAAACTGCAGCTGTAGAATAGCGTTACCACAAATGCAAATACCTGGAACAAAAAACAAATAGATAAACAGAATGTGGAGAAAATATCAATCAACTTGATGGACAGCAAACTGTACCGGTGAGCTAAATTCCAAATCAGTTTGATTGCTATTAAGGCAAATTTCTGATGAGAATTTGATTCCAAGTTGTGGACTTCTAAGCTGCCACAGTGGTCAGAACTCCACTAAACCGTCCATCTATCCATCCATTTTCAATACTGTTTGAACACATGGATGAGCTTTGGATAAGAGGCAGGTTCTTCGCAGGTAGTGTTCATTATGAATACCAAACCTAAATTTCGATCTATCTATCTATGAGTTCAAGTATCTTGAGATTTTGTTCATGAGGGAAGGGAGGATGGGGCGGGAGATCTACAAAGCGGATCGGTGCAGCTTCTGCAGTGATCCAGACTCTGAATTGGACTGTCGCCGTAAAGAAAGAACTGAGCTGAAAGGTGAAGTGATCGATTTCTTGGTCTTTCTACCCTCACCCATGGTCACAAACTCTGGGTCGTGGGCGAAAGAATAAGATCCTGGATACAAGCAGACACAAGAGAGTCAGCATCACCATTATCAGTATGTCAGTGTATAAAAACATTGTGGAGCTTTGAAGGTGTAAAGCCAGTATTTATAGGATATACACTGACACACAACTATTTAGCACATCCGCCTCACAGTGCGGAGGTCATGGATTTGTATCCGACTCCGGCATATCTGTGTGGAGTTTGTATGTTCTCCTGCGTGGGTTTTCCCGGGTACTCTGGTTTCCTCCCACATTTCAACAACATGCATGGTAGGCTGATTGGAAACTCTAAATTGTCCGTAGGTGTGACTGTGAGTGAGTATGGTTGTTCTTTAATTTGTGCCCTGCATTTGGCTGACAATCAGTTCAGGTTGTATCCCGCCTACTGCACCAAGACAGGTGGGATAAACTCCAGCATACCCGCGACCCTCGTGAGGATAAGCGGCTCAGATAATGGCAGGATGGATGGACACTGACACCCAATTAGAAAGGCTTTCCAACCATATTTCACTCACCGTGGCCACTACGTTAATATTAAACTGGTTGCCAGTCATCACAGTGAATACATTTCCGCGAGGGTAGTGGATACACATAACAGTTCCTGTGCTGTTTGGCAGGGGTGTGATGATGGCTCCTCCATTGGCTGCCGTTGTCGCTGCCTCCAGTACAAAGGCAGCAAAATAGAAAAGCAAAGCTACAAAATGGTAAAAAACATCCTGAAAATGAGAAGAGAGGGAGTGTTAGGATGGCATGGCACTCAGCACACATCTATACCATGGCCTAAAGAATGTGGATGGCTGACTTATCTGGGTTTCCTAAAAAGAGTATCTGAGGTTTAAAATTATTGTGCAATTTGGCCAAGAGGTGGGAACATATTATTGCACATCAATTTTAAAGTCACTGCACTGACTCCTTTTATTATTCAGGGTTGATTTGGAGGTTCTTGTACAGGTTTTTAAATGACTTAACGGTACTGGTCCTTCTTATCTTTCAGAGCTCCTTTTACCCAGAGAATCCTCACAAGCTCTGAAGTCCTCCCGCTCTGGCCTATTTAGCAAACCCTTGGGTCAGGACACGCTCACAGCACAGGCCACATGTCAGTTGTACCCCTGTAGTATGTGGTCATGAAAACCAACACAGAAAACCACAGGGACCACACATAGAATGATATGGACAGCACCAGGAACCGTAATTTTCCTCTCCCAAACCTGATACCTATCGTAGTACCAAGACAGACCTGTCAGAGGCAGCCTAGTGCTATGAGTCATCCAGACCGACATATACGGTAATACTCAAAGAAATGAAGAGAGTAGTCCTACTACTACGACTACTACTACTACTACTACTACAATATGAAACGGAAGAAGCTAGCATAACTGTTATCTTATATGGGAACTAGGCTAATTGTAGTTGCAAGCACTTCTCTTTGTCATTTTTATTGTGGTCAAGACACATTATAAGACAAACACTCAACACAATCAATTGCTCCTCTCTACTTGTGTTGTGCAACCACGCACGCTTCATTGAACTGTAAATGTTATCGAAACATGCAGAACAGCCCTGGTGTGTACAGTACAGTCAATAATTCCACACACTAAAACAAGGCACACACTACAAACATGGCAAAACGAAGAGTCATCGCATTACACAGGTAGACAAAAGAGTTTGAGGGGAGTTTGTGTTTTCGATCCTGTGAGTTGGATTGGACAACAACAGCGAGGTCTTTGTTGTGTTCTGGTGTGAGCTCATCATCCACATCGCTCATTGTTCTGATGAAAACAAACAAAACATGCTTGACTTCTTCTGAACAAAGCTTAGTGCTGAGAACAAGGCTGAGAGGCTAAACTTCACAGAAACGGTAATTTTCTGGGCTATGCTAACCAAAACTGTGCACAAATTGTATACTACAAAGAAATTGTTTATGTGTGTTTGTATATATAGATAGATATATTTATCGATACACACACACACACACACACACATATACATATATATATATATATATATATATATATATATATATCAAATTCTATCACCACAAAATGACAGCCGATAGCTCAATGAATACATGATTACATGCACTGGCTGCTCCAAGGAACAAACCAACACCAGACTCGAATACTACCTACCAAAAAGTTCCAGTCGATGTTGATGCGGTCAGCCAGGCCGGTGATGAGGAGGAAGAGGTAGGCGGAGGAGAGGAAGAAGGCAGTGACAGATACAAACATCACCCACCCTTGCAGCAGGGGGACTGGCACATTGGAGGAAGCCACCAGGATCCATACTAAACCACCAAATAACTGGAGACACAAGCATCAGCACGTCAACGCATAACTTTATTCTCAGCGTTTCAAAATCCAGCCATACAGACACCTCATTGTACCAAAATGGGACTTTAATGTATTCACTGCAGCTCTTCACCATTGTAAAGTACAACTATGAAAATATAATTCAGCCAAAAGTCGAAACACCCCAAAATACTTTCATCCATCCATCCATCCATCCATCCATCCATTTTCTGATCCGCTTATCCTCACAGGGATCGCGGCATGTGCTAGAGCCTATCCCAGCATTCTTCGGGCAGTAGGCAGGGTGCACAATGAACTGATTGCCAGCCATTCGCAGGGTACACAGAGACAAACAACCATCCACACTCAAAATCACACCTAGGGACAATTTGGAGTCACCAATAAACCTGCCATGCATGTTTTTAGAGTATGGGAGGAAACCGGAGTACCCCGAGAAAACCCACTCTGGCATGGGGAGAACATGCAAACCGCACACAGGAAGGCCGGAGCCAGAATCGAATCCTGCACAACTGCACTATGAGGGTGATGCACTAACCAGTCGACCATCGGGCCACCCCCCAAAATACATATGCAATCCAAGTCAAACCAAATTTGGAGTTCAAATAATCATTGTGCGTGATGCCACTAAATCAAGTGAGACAGCTCATTAAGCATCAGGAATGAATGCAACTAGTGTGCTTTGCTTCTTAGGGGGGGACTGTTTCATATTATTTGTGATACCACCGCAGAGGGCTACCAATGAGAAAGGCAAAAAGGAAATATGTAATGATACACTCTAAAAATACTTGGGTCAAAAATAAGAAAATTTAGGTGAAATTTGACCCAATTTATGTGTTAAAAAAAGGACCGACCCACACTTGGGTCAATTTTCGTAAAAATTGGATTATTCAGTTTTGATCCAAGTTTTAGGGTGAAATGAAAAGAACAAATTGGGTCAAAACAATGCAAAAAATTGGGTGATCCCATTTTGACCCAAATTCTAGGGTTAAATGAAGATCCATCCATCTATCGACTTTCTCATCCGATTACCCTCACAACAGTCGTGGGGCATGCTGGAGCCGATACAAGCTGTCTACGGGCTGTCGGCAGGAACACCCTGAACTGGTTGCCAGTCAACCGCAGGGCAAACATAGATGAACAACCATCTGCACTCACACTCACACCTAGGGACAATTTTCAGTGTTCCATTAACCTGCCACGCATGTTTTTGGAATGTGGGAGGAAACCAGAGTACCCAGAGAAAACCCACACAGACACGGGGAGAACATGCAAACTCCACACAGGAAGGCCGGAGCCGGGATCGAAGCCTGCACCTCTGCACTGTCAAGCCGACGTGCTAACAAGTCAACCACCAGGTCACCCTCATTTATATATTTATAATTTGTATTTTATGTACCGGTAATTGTTTTGATTAAAATAAACCAACATTAAAACGTTTTAATCTCAATTAAGACCTGGAAAATTAATTCAATAAATAGCCCGTTTCAAATAAGCAAAAAACAGCCGATTTTATGTTCTATTTTTGTACATTAACATTACAAAATAAAGGCCTATTTAATCCTTTGTAAAAAAATAAAAAATAAAATAAAATAAAATTTTCTGCTTTTCATTCATATCTCTGTTAGTGTTAAGGAACCAACACATTTAAATTCATAATTATTTTAAATAAATCAGTAATGAGTCAGATATTTAAATTACATTCTGACCATGCAGCGTCTGCTGTGATGCGGACTTTGTATTGGTCTGTTGTGGTAAAGAAGGAGCTGAGCCAAAGGGCGAAGCTCTCAATTTACCGGACGATCTACGTCCCAACCCTCATCTATGGTCACGAGCTATGGGTCGTGACCAAAAGCACGAGATCCCGGCCGGATACAAGCGGCCGAAATGAGTTTTCTCCGCAGGGTGTCCGGGCTCTCCCTTAGAGATCAGGTGAGAAGCTCGGTCATCCACGAGGGGCTCAGAGTCGAGGCGCTGCTTCTCCACATCGGGAGGAGCCAGATGAGGTGGCAAGGGCATCTGATTAGGATGCCTCCTGGACACCTCCCTGGTGAGGTGTTCCGGGCATGTCCCACTGGCAGGAGACCCCGGGGACGACCCAGGACACGCATGAGAGACTATGTCACCCAGCTGGCCTGGGAACACCTCGGGATCCGCCGGGAAGAGCTCAAAGCAGTGGCTGGGGAGATGGAAGTCTGGTCTTCCCTACTCGACCCCGCGACCTGACCCCGGATAAGTGGCAGAAAATGGATGGATGGATATTCTGACCAATTTGAGGAATCCGCGTAAAAAAAAAAAAAAAAAAAATCACATCATTCAGCTCCTAATGTCGAAATTATGAAACAGTTCTGAGTGTAACCTCAGAACCAGAAATGCAACTCATGTTGACAGAGGACATGGTATGGCTGATCATCACGATATGGGCAATGCAATTAATCACATAAAAAAAAAAATTATTGTTACTTAACGTGTTAATTGCAAAAATTGCCATACAAATGGTCAGTAGTTTACTTTCTTTTAGTTTTAAGTTAGTTACACTAGCATGACTACAAAGAAGCGTTAGAACATTGTTTTTTATAGTTGATAAAAGTACTATAATGGTGTCATCCTTGTCATAATTCACTTCACACTAATTGTCATGAGGTAAATTGCTTTGAATATAGAACATTAATATAAACCAACTTCGTTTGACACCGCAATGTCTGTATAATTCGAGCAGGATGCACACTTTTCCCATTAAAACCCATAATAAATATGAAAACACTCAATTCATAAATGGCAAACAAATCATTTCACAATTAGAACAAACAATGCGATGTACTTAATTTCCATGCTATGATAAAAGCCTGGCAAATGAACGTCTCCTTCGATGATAAAAGAGAAATAATTCAAATAGGCAAAACCTCAGAGGTGTCAAGGACCGGGAGATCACCTTGCAGTTCCAAAAGGTCGTCAGGAGAGACCACGGGGTTGCTACAAGTATACTGCTACAAGTACAGTGTACTATGGCTGAACATCCACTCCAGTCATCCCATGAGTTCCGGATCAACACTTACGATTTCTAAGCAGATCAGCGCCCCAGAGTAAGTCCTCAACACTTCCAGCCCCAAAGGCAGCGAAATTGTGGGTCCTGGGAAGGAGGTGACAGCGGGATTGGTGGCCGGCTCCGACATCTCTCCGTCCGCCTCTCTCTCTCCGCTCTTTCTCGGCCGCCTCTCTGGCTCTCTCACCCCCCCAGAGAACCCACTGGCACAACGGACTGGAGGAGCGGGGGAAATTCCTCCGGAGTCATGTGTCCCTCTCCAACAGAACAGGTCGGACAGGTGCACCGGCCGGCCACTCCCTTGAAGCCATGATGTTGCGTTCGAGGACATCACGGATTCGGTAAAACCTCCATTTCAAAATGGCCTGAGCGAACGAGACTATGAAATACTGTAGTTAAAATGGTAGATTTCCCGAAAATTGATGAGAGAAATCAACTATACACCGAGAAATTGACC